ATAAGTACTCCGCTTACCGCAAACTCTGAAACTGCCAAGTACAGGAACACATCTCCCCCTGGATGGGGACGGACAGGGTTGGAAGAGTCCTTAGGTATTCTTTGATCCCAGCCAGGGCGTCCTCGCACCCCTGGCTCCACATATTCTTCCAGCACTTTTGATTGCTCCAAAGAAGGGTTTGCATTTATCCGAGGAGCGTGAGACGAAACGGTTAAGTGCAGCCAGCATCCCTGTGAGTTTCTGGACTTCTCGGACAGTGCGAGGGCTTCGGATGTCCAGGATTGCTTTAATCTGATCTGGTTGGCTTCGATTCCTCGCTGACTAACCAGATACCCGAGGAATTTTCCTGACTCCACTCCGAAGACGCACTTCGCTGCATTCAGCTTCAGCCCATACTCCCTGAGAGTGGAGAAGGTATCCGCCAAGTCTGTAAGATGATCACAACTCCGTTTGCTTTTTACCAGCATGTCGTCTATGTAGACCTCCATGGTGTTGCCGATCTGCTTCTTGAACATCCGATTCATCATCTTTGGTATGTTGCCCCGGCGTTCTTCAATCCAAACGGCATCACTTATAACAATAAACTCCCTTCGGAGTGATAAATGCCGTCTTTTCTTGATCCGGGGCATAGAGAGGGATCTGATGATATCCTGCTCGGGCATCCAGGAAGTCCATTCGTTCATATCCGGCTGTGGCATCTACCAGCTGGTCCACCTTCGGCAGGGGGTAGTCATCCTTGGGACATGCCTTGTTTAGATCTGTGAAATCCACGCAGACACGCCATTTCCCCCCTTTCTTCTTTGCACATACTGTATTGGACAGCCATTCTGGGAACTGTATCTCTCGAATGGCATCGGCTCTCAGGAGTTTGTCTATTTCCTCATTGACCGCGTTGGTGTGATGCGGGGCCATACGTCGTGGCCTCTGCTTTACTGGCTTGTGAGACGGGTCAACATGCAGCCTGTGAGTAATTATCTCAGGGTCTACTCCTGTCATTTCCATTTCGTTCCAGGCGAACACGTCTGTATTTCCCCTTAAGAACCTGATCATCTCCTCCTGTTCGGCTGCGGGCATCGAGGTCCCAACTAGGAAATACTTCTCTTCTTCTCCTTCAACCAAGGGCACCTTCCGGAGGTCTTCAACCGATCGTTCAGCGGGTCTACCCGGGGGTCGTCCATCCCCGGACGCCCGGACTGTAATTGCTATTTTTCCATGATCTCTTCCGGTGCTCGCCCCTTCTCCTGGCAGGACGCCCCGGCCCGGACGGCCGAATAAAAACAGTTCTTAGCAGACGCTTGGTCCCCCGGATCTCCATGATGCCCTCTGGCGTGGCGAACTTTAACTTCTGGTGGAGAGTGGAGTGCACCGCTCCCAACGCGTGCAGCCATGTTCGCCCCATAATCACGTTGTAAGGAGAGTCCGTGTCGATCACAACAAACTCTGTGTCGATGACGAAGGGACCAGTGGCGACCGGTAATGTGATTTTCCCCACGGGCAAGGCGAAAGAGCCGTTGAACCCGATGAGGGGTGTCCTGATTTTGGTTAGGTCTTTGGGGCCAAAGCCCATCCGCTTCAAAGTCTCGAAGTACATCACCTCCGAGGAGCTCCCTGAATCTATCAAAATTCTCTTGACATCGAATTTCCCTATCTTTAGGGTCAAGACAAGGGCGTCGTTATGAGGAATCACCACGCCTGTCAAATCCGCGTCAGAGAACGTAATGCCAAGCTCACCCATCCTGGCCCTTTTACTTGATGGCCCCACATCTCCCTCGGCTACCTTTCTTGTAAAAGCTACCCTCTTGAGGTCGGATTCGAGCTCTTTGGACGTGGGGCGCTCCAGCGGACATACATGGATGACGTCTATGACGTTGTCCGGTTCCTCGGTCGGGGCAAGGGCTCGTTTCTCTTCTGGCCTAGGCTCTATGTATTCTTTCAAATGTCCGTCTCGGACCAAGCTTTCCAAGAATGACTTGAACACCCTGCAGCTCTCGGTGCGATGCCCGACATCCCGGTGATATGAACACCTAACTTTTTGATCACGGGTGGAGGGGTCGCTCTGCATCCTGGGCGGCCATTTGAAGAACGGCTCGTGTTTGATTTTATGGAGCAACCTGAAGATGGGTTCCTTGAAGACGGTGTGAACTCCTCTGGACGAACCCCCTGGATGGGGTAGCAATCCCTTTCGGGGAATATCTTCGCGCTCTTTCTCCTTTCTCTTGGATTGGAGGGCTCGGCCTTTGTTGCTTCCCATCTCGTCCTCGACCCTTGAGTACTTGTTGATCCGGGCCATCAGTTCCCCCATATCCGAGGGAGTCTTCTTGGTCAGGGATCGGTACAGGTCCGTGTCCCTCGCCAAGCCGAGCCGGAAAGATGCTGCTGCCATGACCTCCGAGCATCCCTCGACCTCATTGACTTCTTCCCAGTATCGGATGGCGTACTGGCGAAGAGTCTCGGATTCCCTCCGTCTGAGGGTCAACAATGATCCAATGTCCTTGGGGCGCTTACTCCCCGTGATGAATCGGGTTAGGAACTGCCTTGTCAATTCTTTCCAGGACCCAATACTGTTTGGGGGAAGCGTCTCGAACCACCTCATCGCAGAGTCCCCCAAGCTCATAGGGAACACCCGGCATAGAAACCGTTGGTCCGAATGATAGAGGGACATCATCTGCTTATATTGTCTGATATGGGCTTCGGGATCAGATCGCCCATCATAGGTTTTGAACCGTGGCACGACGAACTTTCTTGAGACATCCATCTCACTGATTTCCCTCGTGAAGGGTGTTTGCATGACTTCGTCCTCGGCCTCGTCCTGGACAGTTTACCCTTTCTTCTGGAGTCTAATCGGGCTCTGAGATCTACTTCTTCCCTTACGGGATGCCTCCTGAAGTCCCTGGGTTCATCGGTAAGCCCCTCGTTTCCTGGGCGTCGTGTAGATTGGGTTGAGTCCTCCTCGGATTCATCTCCCTTCCTCCGTCTGGACAAACCTCGCCGGAGGTCGTCCAGGGCCAATGGCCTCGCTTTCCTGGAATGGTTGTCAAGATGGCATTCGCCGGCTCTGGGTCGCTTCGGGGCCCTGGAGCTTTCTGCTTTGTGATCTAGGTGGTTTCTTAGATCCTTCGTCTCCGCCTCATGGACGGAGAGTCCTCGTGAAAGGAATGAATCCCTCGACCCTCCGCCTGAGGCGATAAACTCGTCAAGCCGGCTAAGGACGTTTACATTGTCCTTCTCCAGCTGACGTAATCTCTTGCCAAATTTCTCTTCAATCACCTCTGCCAGCTGACGAGCCAAGGGGGCTGACCCTCCTGACCTGATCCTCATACTGGTTTGAGGGGTTACCCCCCTTGACCTGATCCCCATACTGGTTTGAGGGGTTACCCCCCTTGACCGAGTAGAGGCACTTTTAATCGTACTGGTGCGATCCCTCCCTCCGTGATGGCAGGGAGCTTGCAACTCATGACTCCTTTGGTGGGGTCCTTTCCCTCTTTGTCGAGTGTTCACCATGGTCACTGTTCTTTATAGAGAAAAGATTAGGAAAACTACTCGTTTCCCACAGACGGCGTCAGATTGTGCGTGCAAGATCCTGCACAATATAAAAAATATTGGGAACAGATCTTTCCCCTGGTGAACTTTGAGTGAGCCGGTTGAGTGGCCAAACACTCTGCTTGAAACGGCCTGCAAGGTACGGTGGCAACCTGGAACGGCAAAAGAAGATCCTGGGAAAGGAAGAACGATCCTATATGTCTGAAAGGTTTTCCTGGAATAAAGAGGAACAAGTTAGAAGGGTGCCGGAGTGTTTTTCGGCGTATCCCCTCCGACGGTCTAGTCAGTCTTTGAATGAGAGAGAGGAAGAAGAAAACACTGAGAAAGTCTGTATTGTAGTCGAGAGTTTGTGATTGCATACCCGCTTTGTCTCTTGGGAGGAGTATTTATACCTTAAAAGCTCATGATTGCTGTCAGTGTGGTCAGTAGGTGATCATCAGGCACAGGTAGCGTGTGTATTGATTTGATGAGGAATGTCTTCTCTAATTGATTGCTCGGGGTCCCGAGCAATCAATGCTGAGTCGTCGGGACGCCGACGGTACAATATGCTCCTTTCGGGAGGGATGCAATAAATGCTCTGTAATAGGAGCATTTATTGCCTTTCATATCCGAACCTTACCGCATTGAATGCGGTCTCGTCAACAGAAGGGTGCAATTAATTGTTTGCTTTCCCAAAGCGCGTGTCAGCAACAGCATGCAGTCTGTCTGTTTTTGATGTGATATCATATGCCACGCGTCCATCACGTATTGGCTATGACTTCTGTATTCCAGCATGTTCTGACGTTACTTGTGTAAGACGAGGTCATGATGAATAGTCTAGACTGGTATAGGCTGATGTCCCGTACGTCAGTAGCTCTATCCTGGAGTAGAGGAAGCGTCCAGGACGGAGTGACTCTCGGCACCGAGGAAAGGCTCACCTCGGGGATCGAGGGTGGTATGTTTCCGAGGTACACGGGTGACCGAGGACACGTGTTGTATAATACACCGAATGCATGATCCTTTGAGAGGTACCTCGGGGGAGAGGACGCTCTTCGCCGATGGTGCTTACATCCGGGCACCACTGTTTCCAAAAACCCGAGGACACGTGTCTTCATCTCAGGGCTTTTCAGAAGAGTCCCATCAACAATGTTCTTTACGCGCGATTCAAACTCACACGTGGACAAAAAAACAAGTGAAATTGACAAACGAATAAATTGGATGGAAACTGAATAGATAAATAAAGAGACCAAAAAATTTCACTAGCTCTAATACTATGTTAGAGCATTCAACATAAAACAAATTAACGATGTATAGAGTGATACTTAAATAATTTTTCAATGTGCGATAACTCTCCTCACAATTATGCATGAATCGAAAATCCCTCTCGATTATTGGTACTAGAAACTTCTTTTTTCTCCCTCCAAAACCATAATCTTATATTTATATGTATATGTATGCATTGATCTCTGTATGAATTTCAGGAGAGACTGGCATTACCTTCGTTGTTGGATCAATCCACTTCTTACAGAAGGCAACTGAAACAGCGCTTGGAAGAACTAAGGAAAAGAAGGGAAAAACTCCAAGGTGATAGAGCTGTCATTGAAGAACAGAGGGATAGCTTGATGTTACCAGTACTTGCAATTAGAGAGGTGGGTTCAGCTTTGGAGATAAATTTGATAACTGGGGTGAATCAGAACTGCCTATTGTATGAAATTTTCAGTGTTCTTCGTGAAGAAGGTGCTGAAGTTCTGACTGCTAGCTGCTCAACTGTGGGTTCAAGGACATTCTATTCCATTTATTCACAGGTCTGTTTATCCTCTCTTCCAGTATTCCTTATCATGACTGCTATTTTTTTTCACTAAAAGTTGTACAGCTTTGCGCCGACTACTTTTTTGAGTTCATATATTAGCCATTGTAACCATAACGGGTTTAGAACATGTCTCCCAAAGAACAATGGTGATTGTTCTTTTGGGGGTTGAAAAATATTGAAAATGAGACTTCTGAGTTATCAAAGATCAAGCTCAGTCATTGAATAATCCTTAATAATTTCAAAACTACAATTTTTTTTTTAAGCCATGATATAATGTTATAGATTATAAATATCACAGAAGTGAAGAGGCATTAAGAAATCAAAGTGTCATCTTCTCCCGTACATATATGTTATCAATAGTAAGAACATTACGAGCAAGCAGATGAGCCACTCTATTACCCATGTGCCGGATTCTAGGAACAGAGAAGTTTTGAAACTTTGAGAAGTGACTCTTTTGTCGCTAACATGGAGCCCATAGGATTGAAATTTCCCACGGCCTCTGATATCAGCTTCATAACAGTGGTAGTCTCCTTCCAAAAAAATGTCCTTACAACCGTGTGTCCTTGCAAAAGATGTGTCTTTCTTGGACAAAGTCATCACAAAACACCCATATTCATTCATGATTACAACCCTAATTCCAATAATTCCCCCCCGAATCAAAACAACCTCATCGAAATTAATCTTCATAACTATTATTTCATCATAGTAAAGTGTGCATGAAATAAATAGGAGGATAAATCACACTTTGGTATCGATTTTACTTTATTCCTTGAATTATTAAAATTTTTACATTATCCTCTTAACTACTTGAATTACTTCACATTGCCTGAATCGAAAATTAAAATCATTTCAGCTGCCAGTTCCACATTGCAATTCATACATTTATTTAATAATGTGTGTTCATAAATATTAATATCACTTGTTGGATTAATATTTCGCAGGCTTTGTATTCAAGAATTGGCATAGAGACTTCAACAATAAGTGAAAGATTGCAGGATTTGGTGCAACCTGTCGCTCGTCAATTCATTTGTTGAAACTGAGATTAGGCACAAACCGATCAAAGTTGGTGGGAAAGACTCCATATATGTAACCGATTGTACTTTTTTTTTAAGACGTTATTATAGAGAAGGAAACAAACCAGCTTAAGTGTGAAGTAACCACAATTTCGTTCCCAAAAGTTTGGACCACATGCATTAAGTTGGTTGGGATAGATTCAGATCCTCTACAGTACATTAATTCTTTCTTTAATTTTATTTTTGGTTTATTGTTCACCATAAATAAATAAGGGACCCACTTATATATAATGAATTTCACTTTAATGCACGTTTAATTTGAAAATGAATTGTATGTTACTAATACAAATATGACACAAACATAACAAAAATTCAAAAAACACAATCTGAATACGACATAACATCACTCGATTTACACTTCAAATTCGTTAGGTTTATGAGGGATGGGAATTATGTGTTACTAACACCTACCATGCATGATGTGTGACTAGGATCAAACACCATCAAGTCTCTAGGCAACTTACCCCCCCCCCCCCCCAAAAAAAAAAAAAAGCTTGAAATTGACGGGAGATAAGGGGTGGATGGGTCAGCATGTTACATATGTGCAACATAGAGGCCGAAGTTGACAGATTTAAAAACTTCCATCTAATTTGATTATTCGATGAATTTTATTTTATAAAATCTTTATTTTTGTGAAATTTTTTACATAAAATTTGACGAGTTTGAATTAATATTCTAATTTATTGTAGATAAATAAAATGGGTAGAAGGTTTTTTTTTTTTTCAATGTGTAGAAGTTGATTTTACTAAGTTTTATATATTAGCTAAAAATGACATATAGGAAAAAGAAGTTCTTGATCCTTACCATATTTGCAAGTTGGTCCTGCAAAGATAAAGATCCTGATTCCATCTCTTCCATTGCAAGAATTAGTTTGTGATAATGACGTCGTTACAATTCAAAAAAAAAAAAAAAAAAAGATAATGATGTGTAGATAAATCACATTTGTAGCTGGATTTTGTGATAATTTTACTTGTTTTTCCGTTGGTGATCATACATACTAATCCAAGTAAGTGTCTTAGTGTCTTTGTTTGTAAAAGTAACAATCCTGTATTTTATTTTATTCTTTATTTGGTTATTAAATATAAAAATATTATAGGTTTTTTTTTTGTTTTTGCATACATTAAGTGACAATACCTGTATATAATAAGATTTTTCAAACCGAAGGGGGAGCATAAAATTTTCAAAACCTAGGGGGTTAGTGGAATTTTTGAAAAATTCTGTGACTTGAATGGCAATGGATGTGAGGAATAATTGACACCATAGCATTGAACGTACACCGCCTTCCCGGCTGGGTAATCGTCATATTCTCTCCATCCCACACTTTAAGACCACATGCATTAAAATGGTTGGGACTTGCGTGGGGTGTGAGTGGGTTGGAGTGGTCAGAAAATGAATTATATATTTATTAATACAAATAATACATCTTGATTACGACATAATATTTACTCGATTGACATCACAAATATATTTGGCTTCCGGGGGATGGGAGATGCACTTATCATTAGGTCAATTAATTGTGTTGAATGAGACGAGTTCGTATTGAAGTTGGACTCTCCATGCTTGATGGCTCGTGAGCAAAGTTTGATTTCTGAATTGAAGGCATATGATTGACACATGCATGTGACCGGACAATCAAGGGCAGTTGCTGTACAAGGCTTGGTCAAGGAAGACAGTTAACAGGTGGAAATTGACGAATTTGAATTTGGAATATGTTCTAGAAACTTTGATCTGAATCTAAGTTGATTATTTCGACAGATCTCTTTTTTATAATTTATATCTATTTTTGTAAAAAAATTCTTTTTGACCTGAGTAACTTAATTCGAACTTTATTTTAATTAATTACATCATAATTTTGACTTAATTTCGTTAAATCATCACTCTATTTTATAACATATATTGGATCCATTTGGGACTGATTTTTTTAGATTAAAAGTTGTAGTTTAAAAAGTTCTATAAAAAAAGCAGAGTTAAAAAAACCCCTCAAAATCGTTTCAAGTCTTCTTTAACAGTTGGAAAAGTTCGTGGTGATGATGGTGATAATGGTAATAAATGGTGGGTGATGACATATGATGGTGGTTGGTGGTCGTAGGCGTGGTGGGATAGGTGAAAATGGCTGGTGGCGATGATAGGGGACGATGGGTGGTGGTGGGTGTGACAGTGGGTGACGGTGGTAGTGAGATGATAGTGGTAATGATAATAAATATAAGAATAAAATGACGATGAAGGTGGGTGGTGTGCATGGACGACGATGGTAGTAATCGGTGGTGGGTGACGATAGTGGGTTAGCGATAGTGATGGTCATGGGGGTGATGGTAAGACAGTAACAGTGGTAGTAAGGTGCAACAACAGTGGTGGTTGGGCGGTGAAAATATTGGTGGTGGTAGTGATAGTGATGATGGTGGGATGGTGATGGTAGTGGTTATGGTGGTGATGGGGCAATGAAAGTTGTGATGGTGATGACAACGGCGGTGGTGGTGGTGGGTGTGGTAGTGTGATGATAGTGATGGTGGTGGGGTGAGAGTGGTGATGGCGGTGGAGCGGTGAAAGTGGTGGTGGTAGATGTAGTGGTGGGGCGGTAACACTATTTTTTTTAAAGTATTTATAAAAATTAATTTTTAAAAAGTCACTTCAAATACACATTTAGTGACTTATTTTTTCTATCAAAATTTGAGTTATTAATATTAGTCGTTAGATTAAGTTTAAAGTAAAATTTAAATCAATCTCAACCGTGAATAGTAAAAATTATTTTATTTATTTTTTGATATTTGAATTATATTATACTTTATTATATAGATATAAATATAAATAAACGAATCGAGTATATGTAGATACTCATTAATAGGATTAATAATTGAGCCAAATCAATGCGAACTTTTCGGTGGATGTAGTAATTTCCCTTGAAACACGTCACGCTGTTCATTCCGGGAAGGGTGCGGTCAAATACCCCTTTGGTCCAAGAGCAATGGTTAGGTAGTAGTAGGGGCTCAAATGAACTAAATCGAGCCAATCCCTTGATTCTTAAGATTGGCAAACGAACATCGTTTGGGCTTGACTTGAGCTTGTGACAAGCTTCATATATCTTATTTGAACTCGGCCTGTCAATTTTTTTTGTCTAATCTCGAGCTTCACCCGATTATTTCAATGAACTAAGGTCAATTATCTGTTTAAGTTATTACCAATTGAATTCAAGAACAAACTCGACTTGTTTAGATATAAATTTATTAAACACTAAATGTATTTATTCACGAGTTTAATGAACTGAACAAATCATTGTTTTGATTCAACAGCTTCATTAAATGAACAATAAACTGAGGAGGAGTTTGGTTCGGTTGATAAATGAACAAATATTTTGTCTAATCTTAAACTCACGATTTCGAACCTCATCATCCCTCTATCTACTGTTCAAAATAAATAAACAAAGTCCGGAGTAATGGTTATGAATAAGGTAAATTGTAAAGGGGTACACCAAATTAGATTTATTTGGTAAAAAATACACACTAAAAAATGTAAGGTTATTAAGTACTTAATTTTGATACTTATTTGTATCAAAATACATAATTTGAATTTATCTATTTTTATTGTAACATTTTTATCCTCTATTAATCCATGTGTATTTAATGCACCACTTTTCTTTGAAAAGTTATGAATTAAACATCTCCTAGTTTTATGGGAAAACTTTAATACATACACATATATATACGTTTTTTTATATACATAGATACATATTTTTATATATATTTATATATACATAAATATTTATGTATATATAAATACTTATGTATGTATGTATGTATATACTTGTTGTTAAATCTTTTATCTAAATTTTGAATTATCTTTTAATGCCCCTTGATTCATGCATTTTTTTTAGAAAGTAGTTTTATATTTAAATTAATTTAATATCCGAATAGTATAATAGTGTAACAATAACAGTGTAACAATAAAAGTGTAACAATGTAACAATAATAGTGTAATAATAAAA